AAGCTGTAGATGAATGCACACATTTATGCTGGAATTGCACTTTTTAATTCATTTATGTTGTTGATTATTGTGTTTACGATTGAATGTACATACCTACTAGATCTCACCCTTTATCTATGTCTGCTATTGGTGGATAGGTATTCCAGAGAAACAAACTTACTCATAGCTCATATATATTGTACCAATAATTGAGTTTCTATTAATAAAATAATAAAGTTAGTCATGCACAACTATCTTTCCACCTTTCCACAGACTTGAGACTATCAAATTTTATTTTTTAATTATTTTATTGGTGTTAGCGTTAAGGCAAAGGAAAAGAAAAAAAAAATACTCAGCCTCTACATATATATTTTTTTTCTTATTTACTTACATTGTTTTTTTTTGTTTGTGGTATTGTTAATCGTGATTATGTCGTTTATTAATTTTTTATTCACGTCAACCTTAGGCCCTGCCAGAATATCAGCGCCGCAGCGGCCTTGGTGTCGTTGTGGCATTGTGCTGAGGCAGGGACCTAGTTGACCTTATTCTGTTTGTTATCTATGCTTTTTATTTGTAATTTTATAGGGTCAATAAATAATTTCTTTCTTTCTTTCTTTCTAAATTACCAGAAACTAATTTATCTTTATTTAGATGTACTATATTTTTAATAGCTGACCAAATTTTCTTCAGGTTTTTGGAATGCTTTCTGAGTCCATCTTGCTCATATATTTTTTTGAGACGTTTCAATAGGTCGTTACAGTGGTTCCTATATCTTTTACAAGTGATTTGTAAGATTTCATTTTTGGGATCTGCTTTGCATTTAATGTGCATTCTATCGCGATTTTGTATGCAACGTATTAACCCTGGTGTGATCCAGGGCTTTAGGCAAAGTTTTTTTCTAGGAACAACAACAGTGATAGTTCTATTGTTAACATAATTTGAGAGTGTATTCACAAACCTCTCAGCTGCCCAGTTAGCATCTTGAGAGCAAAAGATATCATTAAAATTAGTGTTTTTGATATCACTTACAAGGGCCTCATAGTTGACTCTCTTCGTAATTATATTTGCATTCTGTTTTACCAATGGATTTGCATTAATACAAGTCAAAACGGCAGAATGGTCTGTCAGGGGGGCACTCAAAACAATAGTAATAACTGGACATTTTGTCTTTATCATAGCATGATCTATGCAATTATTGCCTCTAGTAGGAAAGGTATGACCTTTCAAGATACCATGAGATGCAAGCAAATTTAGGTACTCAGATGAATAAGGATCTTCATTTTTATATTTAACGTCAATATTAATGTCCCCCATAATTATTATATTACTATATGATCTGTACTTAATTATTAGTTTGTCTAAAGATTCAATGAACTCAGATATATTTCTTTTTGATGGGGATCTGTAAATAGCTATAATTATCGTATCTGATTTTACGCGCACCACAAGACAGCTAGCATCACTGAAGTCTGGTTCTTCAACAACAAGGTTAAGGTCAGTTTTGATATACAACACGATACCATCGTTCTGATTCTATTTATTTACAGAAAATAAAGTGTCATAGTTTGAAAGCTTAGGATATTGAGAAATTTTTGAATTCCATGTCTCAGTCAAAATGTAAATTTCGCAATCAATTTTTAATCTAGCCAGTAAAACTTTAAATTCGCTAATATTTTCATTTATACTCCTTATGTTTTGCGTAAGTACTTCAGTCTATACCAGTAAACGGTAGGTTCTCCGCTTTCCGAAGGTACACGTACCCTTTTGAAGTCCAGCAATAAGTAAACTCGTTGTCACGTGCAAATTCGCGGGCCAGGTAAAATAGTCTTTGTGTTTTCATAGTAAGAGATTCGGCGACGAAGACAGGCCTTTGAGACCCTGGTATTTTCAGATTAATTGTATTCAGCTTGGATTCTCTAGGCGCTTCTTTATTAAATACTTACGGAACTGCCTGTAGAATTTTTTCCTTAGATTTAACGCAATAGCGTAACCTATTATTGTTGAGCTTAATAAAGCTCAACAATAATAGGTTTGGCCGACTCCTTTTTTGAAGACACCCGATATATGTCCCTATATCATAATCTTGTAGTTCTGTGTTAACATATTGCGCTAAGTTTTTTACGATGTCCAACAATTCCTGCTTCGACTCGTGCTTGTCCTCTTTTTGACTGACTGATGGAACGTTTCGTATTTCCAAGCCAGTCGTTTTTATTTTTCTTTCGAAAAAGTCCACTTTATCTTCTAATTGCTTAATATACTTTTTATCGTTTAATCTTTCCTGCTCCAGAACCTGTAGACTTTCTAATATTTTATCATATTTATCCGACATAAATTGGACACTTTTTTGCATTTGCTCATACTGTTGCTTTACATCACTAAACCTTTGTTCTACAGTCTTTGATAAAGAAGCGAACGAGGCCCTCAACTCTGTCTTAAAATCGTTAAACTCGCTACAATCAACAATCTCCTTCTTGCGTTTTGCGCGCATTGCAAAATTACTTTTCCCACTGTTTTCGGACGCGGTGTCAGAATCATTACCTTGTATCGTTAGTACGTTAGCTGGGACGACCACAGGGGGCGGAGATCGTCGCATCATTACCCCGCAAAAAGATATTCAATTGATCACAACACAAAGTATGCAAATCTGTGATGTCTCCAGTCCAGGTTGATCCCGCCGTTGAAACACAACTCAATAGCAATGCAATATTTTGCCGGAAGCAATGCTCCGGAGCCCAGTGGATAACGAACCAAGGAAACATTCACTAATCGCAGGTTCAAATCACGCAGTGATCTCCAAAGTCAGCAGCACTTTTTCAATTTATTTAAACTTATTATTTATTAACAACTTTACTACAGCATAAAGACACGTCCACTCGCAATGATGTCCCGAGGGGAAGGGGGGAATCTTTTATTCTTATTAGCATTAAGAAATGTTATATCATACAAATAATAATATAATTTGTGGCGTGTCTGTCTGACACTCCAATTCTTAATTATAAGCTAGTTTTAAGTTTTCTATTGATGAACAAATCGACACACATCCCGTGTCTGTTGTAGGGTCCTTTAAATGTTAATTTTAAGCTATATCCATCTCGTCTAGAGTTCCTTTTTCGTGCGTCAATTATACCAATGTAGAGAAAATATTAGCGTCGAGTCGAGGAGCCCGTACGAAAGGGATAATAATTTGTAAATGTATCTGAGGGCCTGAGTTACGCAGTATCATCTTTAAGCTATCTATATATTTCGTTACTAATACCGGTTTCCACTATTTTACTTTGTAGCACCTCAATATGTCAAAGCAATAAATCATTCAGCCCTGTTTTATTCACGGTTTTATGAGAGTTCAAAGGTCAAGTACATGTATGAAATTTCAAAGGTCAGAAGTAGCTGACAGAACAGACCAAAAATCCCGCTGAATGAGGGATCAAGCTGACACTATTATAGCTACAATTCTTTGAAGAGCAAATACTATTATCTATGAATTTGCTGTTTTCTATGGAGATTTTCGAGGAACTTATCTATATCTTCCTTATCCAACAAATACTGTATTCAACATTAAAAAACATTCATTCAGACTAAGCTGTTACACGCACTTGTGAAGGTCGAAAAGCTACACCATTGGTTCATAAATCCACGGCGGGAGACCTTGTACTGTGAAAAATCAGCAAGATATTATGGGACAATGCTACAAAAATATAAATAATGTCTTTGATCTTATTTTTCGTCGTCTTGACAGACAATAACAAAGTAATCCTTTATGAATTCCGTTTTTTCTTTTGTAATTCGCAACCCGGGACAGACAGAAAAACGCAAACGTAAGACGCAGACGGGACGCGTCAGATTATGAGCGTCATATTCCGCGTCGGGTTGAATAGGTCCCGCGTTGGGCACTCAGTTGGATGAGCTGATCTCCAATCAGTCATTGACAATGCATTCCGCTCCGGCTCCTCTGTTACGGATAAAAATAAGCCATTTCTGGAAATGTAAAAACCTAGCATACCTCTCTCATTAGCTACGACGTAGTCTGACCGCATGACTACGGCGGCGCAGCGTCGCAAAGGTAAAAAACCGCAGCGCCTGAGTGCGGCACGTTGACATTGCCATGCCGTGTTGAGCGTATGCACACTACGGCGGAAAAGGGTTTTACGATGTTGCTGAGCTATACATTTCCCACGACATTTGGCAACGTACCGCACTTCGGTGACGCGCTGTTTCACTTTTACGTCGACGATATCGTCAGTTTCACACACAATGAAGAAGCGTCGAGTCCGCGTCTGTCTTTGTCATATAGAGTAGTAGACTCTAAGGCGCAGCGTGCACTGGGAGAGGCGCGGCGAAGATACTGAGGAATTAACAATTTAAGCTAAACTCTAATTTCTATATTATAAGTTTAAAATTTTCATGGCAAGCATAAAACAATACACAAACTACGCTACTTTGTCTCGGTGAAGTATGATTGATTGTTTGATATAATATCTGTGTCATAAAGAGCTTAGAGAGGTATCATTGTTATTTTTTAGATCCTGCATTTCAAGAGATTTACTTAGGCCAAATTGGAAATTCCGTTTGAATTAGACCACAGTAAAATAACACTATGTTTTGGTGCTGTTATGACACATCGGCTGTTACCTTCGCGAATCGGCCCCACTTACACGTAACACAGATACTGTGCATGTAACATGGTAGGTACATGGACAGGTAGGTTAGGACTCCACGGGAGTAGGGGCTGGGTGGACAATGAGCGAATAATAATTTTGTGTCGCAAGCGTCTATAGGTTATTTGTGGCCAATTACCATCAGGCGGACCGAATGCTTGCTTTTTTTACAATTTTTACATATTAACTAAATGTATCATCACTGTTGCTAAACTTTCCTTACCTTTAAATGTTTCTGGATTGGTATAATTTTAAATTTATGTAAAACTATTTGGTATTTTTTTACAATGCAAGGAAACGAGCTGGCAGTACACCTGTTGGTAAGAATTCACGGTCATTTATAACTATAACATTAAATGTACTTACGCTCAAGTCCTCAATGTCGACGCACGTTGTGTAATTAGTCCAAGGCTTGTTCCCTTCTGGATGTAGGAACCAAGTCCCGTTCTCCATGCATCTGGAAGGCGAGTTAGATTTATAACTGCCATTAATTTTGCTAAACAGCCTTTGCCATGGTACTAACATGAAATTTGCCTACAGCTTTTTATTCTTTTATAGTCGTAACAATGTCTGAGTGTTGCATTTAAAACAGAATAGGTTCGTTATATTTGAGTTTTCAGTGCTATTTTACGAAGCCGCTTTATTGCAATGGCAATGATACGATTAATTGTAAATTGTTAGTGAAAGGAGATTGCTCAGCTTCCATACATGTTTGGCCTAAAGACCAATAATCATGAAAAATTGTTTCCTAGATTCGAAATTATATATAAATTACTGTAGAAACGAATATTATTGACGGACACCCCTGAGAACTTCTATAAACCATATACACTGAACATATTAAAATAATAAAAAACAAATAAGTTATATAGTAAACTAGGGAAATCAAGCCAAGTACCGAAATTATAGATTAGATTCAGGTATATAGAGCATGTACATTAACAGATAGTTGCCTGTTTTTAAAGTTAATGCATAAGAGTAACTTTTAAAATCAGGTGTCATTTCCGGTTATAATAAAGTACTCTGTGACAGAAACTGTATGATGATTGTGAATGAGCCACAGATTAGAGAGAATTTTTAAACTCTCGTTAACCAAAGAAGCTAAGAGATTTAGTTTCTATAGCCATATATTCAGTAGCTTGATTATTTTTGTTATATTTTTAAGATAACTATATTTTAGATTTTTAGTGTGTCACACCTTATAATTTTAATTATTTATTAATTTATAGTCAGGGAACGTAGGCCCATAGATAGATACCTTAAAGTCTAACATATATACAGATTATAATGTGTTTATGGAGGTGTTTGGCGAAAAATGTATTGCAATAGACTTTATGATGTCGCCTACCATCTATAATAATTGTCTGAGCACATTTGCATCTAGTGAAAATGATAATATAGTTGTGGATATTAATACCACAGTGTAATAAATAAAATGATTTATTTTATCGATCTTTACAAAATAGATTTGTTTTCATGTTATATAAACAAATTCGATCAGTCTTTGGCTGAATGTTACTACACCCATAGCCATTAAAAATGATTCGTATGTTTTCCAAACCGGTAAAATTAAAAGTCCTTTTTAAAGTAAATATTTTATACAAAGGTGTCCGTAGAAATCTAATGACTGTAAATTAAATTATAAATTACGCCAAGAATTACCGTGTATGTCAATATTTTTTGTGCATTTAGGCCAATTTGAGCAATCTCCTTTAAAATGTTAAAATTTAATTTTTGTCATCCACTTTTCATTTCATTCACATACTTATGAAGTAGGGAAACAACAAACATATAATACAATAATGATAATAATAAAATATGAAATAAATATTGCTTTTTTACATAAACATCCCTGCGTTACCTATAACATGTTACGCAATCCAACTAATTTTATTTGTTCACTTTATAGCCACTTAGCATAGCTAAGCAGGTACACTTACAAAGGATAATTCCGATGTATACTTGAGAATTCTCACCATGTTCAAGTGTTCTATAACCATTCCAGTTTTCTTTAGTATTTAAGGCAATAAAGTTTTACGTGCTCCGATATCTTTACTGACTATCGCTTAAAAGGCACCATTGCTTAGAATAGCTTTATCTAATTTATTTAATACAACGAGAGACGTTTGTTGAGTTCCAAATTGAAATTGCTGTAACCTCCTTATTATGTAATAATATATATGCTAGATAGAATAATAAATAAATCGCCAGGTAAAATAATTGATTTCTAGAAATCCTATTTACTCAATCAACCTAATACCTACTAGAACGAACTTTAGTGGTCTCTGAAGACGGCTCATCTAATAAAATGCTGATAATACCAACATGCTGTTAATTAACATTTAATTTAACATAAACACTCTAGGCTCTTAGGTTACCATTCCGTTTTCCCGAGGCCCTCTAATCGTATTGCATCGTTTAAAGTTTCTATGAAAACGCAGCAGCGCCTCTACCGGACGTAAGAACAAACTGGCTCCTTGCATACAAAAAAAAAGCGATTGTGTTCATGACCATACGACTGAAGTGAAACTTCTTTAGCTCCACCTGTTATATATATATATATATATATATATATATATATATATATATATATATATATATATATGTGTGTGTATAATATTATATACATGTATGTACATACACATATATTAATTTTCTACAAATATTTTAATTTATTTTATTTTTTCATTGATAAACAAAATAGCGAATTTTCCAATTTCATATTTCCCAAACTTAACCTGAAGATTTGTTGATAGAAAAAAATAAACATACGGTGGATTTCAATGGCGTAGAATTAATAATACTAAATTTTTATTGATTATGGATAAATTACGTCGTGTAATCAATTAAAAATCATTTTTCAATAGTTAACATCAAGTAAACATGTAAGTTAGCACTAGATTCATGTATTTTATGACGGGTATAATACATTGTATACCGATGAGTAACCGGTGACGCTTATCGTAACGTGTAACTCGTAACGCATTCGCCAGTTTACCCCCCGAGTCAAGCGTGCCTATAGAAGTTTCACTTCAAAAATGACAATGACGATACGATTACGGAGCTCTCAACATTTGTGCTTGGATCTGGTGTGCTCTGGTCTTGCAGGCGTCCGTTGGTCACGGTGACCACTTACCATCAGGTGGTGCGAGTGCTTGTGGGACTTCCGAATATTTTAAAAAAGATATGTCTACATGCATTCCTGTTTATTCTCATTTAAGTATTGAATGTCTTCGCCTCACAGATAGGCAAATCCTCATAATATGATATACTTAATTATTAGCAGAAATGGAATTTCGCTACACCATGTTAGTCTATTGAACAGCTGCAGTCAGGGGTCGTAGCTAACACCGTAAATCTAGCTTAAAGCCAGAAAAACCGCTTGCGATTTATGAAACAAAATAACATTGTGATTTCTGACGGCAACTATCTGTACAGGGAAATTAAACTTATTTAACTGTTTTCAATTTGTTTAGGTTACCGAATATGTATGAAGCCAAGAAACTATAAACATTTCCTAGGTGGTTTCCAATGTTCTTTATTTATGAATTTTACAAGATTAAATGCATACTTAATTTTATTTGGATTATTAGTATCTCCGAAAGTTAGTTACACCCTTCTCTTGAATAAGTGATGATCATCAAATCTATGAAGAGATTTTCACATAATTATTATAAACTCAAAACAACTTCGCTCATGTAGCTTTTAAACTAAAAAATTGGTCAAGCGCGGGTTTTACTCTCCTACCGTGGGTTCCCTACAAATTTATAGGTACTAGGGTTTTTGCCCCGTAACGTCTCGTGTCTCGAGACTTTTTGTATTTTAGTTGCCTTTCGGGTCGAGATTCGAGACTAGACACAATAGTTGAAATAGCTTTGTGATCATTTTTAATTTTAAATAATTTAAAGAGCCTAGCGCCTAATATTAGTTTAATGTATAATTACTTGGTCTATTACGTAACTACTGACAACAACAACTACACAACACAATAAATGCGCTTGCCGCGCCACCGCATTGGAAGAGTGTCAACAAGTAAATCTGTTTGTGATTATAAGAAATATTGCCTGCGTAGGGACTTTTGTACGCGGACTTTTTTTTATGTTATTATATTTATGCATACGAGCAGACGGCTCACCTGATGGTAAGTGATTACCGTCGCCCATGAACACTTGCAACACCAGGAGTATCACAAATGCGATGCCGGCCTTTAAGGAAGGAGTACGCTCTTTTTTTGATTCTTTCTATTGTCCGTCAAGATAGATCGCTTAGAACTGCATCGAGTAATGCACACGACAGATTAAAAGTACCGCGTACAAAAAGTCTCTGATAATGTGTAATGATGTGTAATCTGAGAATATTTACTTCCATAGCGCGCGCTACTCTAAATTTTCGGGTAACAAATGTTTGCTTACCGTATTTGTCGATCCGTGACAAGTCCACGGCGGATATTTTATTACGATTCAGGGACTTTTGTCCTCCGTGAATAAAAGTCCCTCGTCTGCGCAACCCATTAAACATACCAATTATTTAGACTGAAATCTACATTGAAATTATTAAGGTCTCATTTTATGTTTAATAAATCTAAATTTTATTAAAAATTAATACTTTTCACCAGTTATTAACTAAAATCAAATTTTATTCTTAAAAGTCTCGAAGTCCCGGGACTTTGAATTTGTCGAGAATTCCCAAGCCCTAAACTATACATATAATAAAATGGTAGGGAAGTCAAAACTGTACATTGAATATTTTTTTAAAAGAATACTTGCGGTGTGATCTACCTACCGAAACCGAAGCCAAAAATATAGTTCATAGAATTTTTGACTGTTTGTTTGTATGTATGTCCGGGATAAACTCAAAAAGTACTGCATGGATTTACTTCAATTTTGGCACGAATATTATTAAGGAGTCGGGTCAACATATAGGCTACTCATTATCACGCTATCACCTACGGGGAACGAGCAGTGAACTTTTATTTCTTCAACACATTCTGTAACAACGTGTAATCTAACGACGCATATTTGAATGTTGTTATCATGTTAATAACCATGCTATAAGCTAGCTTCATATTATAAGTAACTTAAGTCTTGCCGAAGGCACTCTACCAGAGGAAAGAGGAGGACAGGTGGCTTCCAGAGTCTCTGTGTACGGAGATATCAGTCGTATACCGCACCAGCAAAATTCTTAGGTATGTGACCGGGCCATTTTGACGCCCAAAAATGATCAGGCTGCAGCAATTAACGAATGCATTCTCTCGGAAATTGAGGGGAATGAAGTGGTCTACACCTCTATAAACACTGTCGTCGAGCAAGATGACGTCACACATTAATGAAATACACCCGTGGAATTTCTGAACTCCCTGTCAGTTAGTGGACTTCCAGCGCATACCATCAAGCTGAAGGTTGGTGTCCCGATTATGCTTCTTCGGAACCTATCTCCTCCGAAATTGTGTAACGGAACCC